TTAAACTGAAAACAAATTAGTTTTTGACAATTTTATCAGTAATTTTATTTCATCTAACAAGCTTGGCCTTTTTACGCAATAAAATTTGTTTCAAATCGTATGTATTTTTTTGCGTCGAGAGAACTTCAAGATAAGACATTTTTTTTTTGATAAAAAATAAATCCCGTAATATTTATAAGTCATCTTGTTTATAAATAATATTCTATTTAATAAGTTCTTTATTTAGAACGAATATAAAATATTATGATAATGTGACATGATTTTGACGCGTGCTGGCTTCAAAAGATAAATTCTTGTATTGAATAATAATATTGCTTTGCAATGCTCTTAGCACCGCTGATAACGCTGGTAACATGGAAATTTTTATACTTTACATGGATCACAGATAGGACAAAAATATATGTTAGTTATCATAATTCACGTCACAAGAAATATAAGAAATATTTTTCTTGATCACACATTTATCTTACCACAATTCCTTCTTTCTTATTGAGAAGAAAAAAAATTATTCTTTTTATAGAAAGGTGATTGCAATACTGACTAAGTATCTTTACTGACGCAAGTTGAAGCTGAGAAATTGCATATTTCCAATCCCCATGTTTAAATGATAATGATTGGTAATAGCCTTATAAGATAATTATGAGCCCCATTAAATAGGTTTTAATAAATAACTGTAGTTTCCTTAGTTTCCCCTGAAAAGCTCCACTTAATGCCCAGTCATCAAAATCCCCCTTCTCATCAGTATAATTTACCACCCACTTAATTTAAGCCAAAACCTAACAAAAAAATCCCTTTAGCCAGCGAAAGGCGAAAAAGTTTAACGACAGATACAAAATTAAGTTGCAAACAAAAGGCCAAAAAGCCCATGTACTTGTCACCCCCAACTACCAGCCGAAAAAGTCCCAGGTTTGTTGTTCTTTGAACAGGGAAAAAGAGCAACCAGAAGGAAAAGCGTGGGGGAAAGTCGAGGAAATCAGCCCGGCACACTTTGCCTTTTCAGCCGCAGGCTAAAAGTCGTCGTCGCTTTCAATTATAGCCGTGAGTTTTCTCTGTCCGGCTAACATACACATGTACACATATACAGTTGGCAGGAAGCCATAAACACAGATACAGCAAGGCAGAAACATACATATGTATGGGTGGCCAGTCTACACCCACACACAGCCATTAGCTTAATGTGTGCTTATTGCGCACGCTTTGGAACAGACGCAGGTTGATTTAGGGGGCAAAACTGGGGGTGTGAGTTGGGAAAAGCCCGCAAAGCTAACGAAAACCATAAACCCCAAACCGAAAACCCAAAACCCCCCAAAAATGGATGCTAAGGATATGGCAACCGCAACTTGCCACTTTGTCTGCCCGAGGGAAGGGCTGGGGTTGGGGTTGGGTTTCAAATAAAAGCTGAGGGGATGGAAAATCAGTGGGTGGCTGGCTGTGGGTGGTGTCTGGGCCAACCGCAAACAAACAAACACAAGAGCGCAACAGGGACAGAGACACAACCAGCAGTCAGAAAAAGAGAGCAACACAGCATCTGTATCTGTAGCTCTATCTGTATCTGTATCTGCAGTTGCATTTGTATCTGTTTCTGCTTCGGCCTCTGTAACCATATCTCCATTTCGGTATATAGATACATTTTATATATAGAACCCAGTACGTATAGCCGAGTGCATAATGAATGCGAAGATGTGCCCGCCCTATTATCCTGACTCCTCCCTCAACTCGAGCTGGCTGTCTGTGTATCTCAAAGATACATAGCCGCATTCTGATAGGAAAAATCGAGGGGTAAATAAGGGCATCTCTCTCTGTTGCTCAGTCTCTGTCTCTGTCTCTTTGGCAAATCTCCCTCTGTTATCCTTTCTGTGGCCACTGGCACTAAGGATTCGAATCAGAATCACCAACTTTCAGATAATAATAATGACTGCAAACTGACACAGATTTCAAGGGGCAAGAACGAGAGGTGTTCTCGCCGAGAAAGAGAGAGAAACATTCCCACAAAAAGAGAGAGAATGAGAGAGCGCAGGCTAAAGATACATATATAAACCCACTGAAAGATACAGAGGCTGTGCTCTCTCTCTTTCCTTGGGTTTATTTAGCTCTCCAGTTTCATCCCCTAGACTTTTGGTTGTTGGGAAAGATAGCCAGGACATCGGGGCGATGCGATCCTTTTGGGAGATGAGATGAGATTTTTACGGAGATGGGAGAGAAGCGGAAGGGAAACAACCACCATGGCGAATGGGACAGCCAACCAGCCGCCCGAAAAATTCCCATTCAAACCGAGAATCCGGCAATCCGAGAATCCTCATCGCCTCCAGACAATTCAGTTCGTTGCTGAGCGTGCTGGCAATCGGAATCGGAAAATCACACTCGCTTTTTCGCTGTCGCCGTCTGCATTCTCAGTTACCATAGCCATCGCCGTCGTCGTCGACGTCGACGTCGCTGCCGTGCCATAGAATTTCTGTTTCTGGTCTTCATTTCTACATATATATATATAATTTTTTTGCGCTATCGCCGCTTCTTTTGCCGACTGGCTGGCAGCAGTCTTGCGAAGACAACCGGCAGATAGAGACGACACCTCATCAAAGTTATCCGTCGTTTATAAAATCGTTAGAACCGGAGTTAAATTAAGCGACATCGAGCATACGCAGTGTTAGCCAACGGAAAATGTCGCATCGCGTGTTATGAAAATATTTACAACTGATCTGTTTATTGTGATAATTACAAGTAACGTTTGAAAGCAGAATCATGCTGTTCGATCGATATGTCATATCAGGTTGGTTCCAAGACGTGAATATAAACAAAAATGTAAAAATAAATAAATATAAACGGTATCTCGCGCTGTGGCTTACAGGGGAATCGGAGTTCTCTGAACTGAATCAGTTGGATTGAAAACAGTTTACAATGGGTTAGGCTTAAACAGAAGCCAAGTGAATCAATTTGAAAAAGTCTATTCATCAGTTAATCAATGTGTTTTAGTTTTGAAACATCAATGGGATAAGAATTTGTACGAAGATTTATCCATCAAGTGTTAAAAATAAATCAAATAGAGACTAATCTGGTCCTTGGAACGTACCGGATATTATAAGACCATTGAATGTGTTTTTTCAACATAATATATGTTTTTGAATAGAGTTTAATTCAGAGTGTTTGTTGGTTAACTGATTCAAAAGTAATCAAAAATGTTGCCCTCTTAATGGACGTGTTTATAATTATTTTCAAATTTTTTGCCCAAATATTTTCTTGGTTTCGACCTGCAATTTTACACATAAATTTATAATAAAATAGATGAATGTAGAAAACTATATAATGCAGAAGAATATATTTCAAATCCATATAGCATTCCACAATAACTATAAATAGTAGTCCATTCCTCATCTAGTCAAATAAATTTAGTAATAAAAGTCTTGTTAAAAACCAGCTACTAATAATGAGTATTACAAAACTCAAGTGCTTTCCAAATTAGCCAAAAACATTTTTCCCAAGAGCTCTGTCTACCAGGCCGCAAAAACAAAAACATCTTTTAATCTAGTTTCCTCCGTAAACTTTGTCGCAAACTTTTAATGGCCAAACTAAAACCGAAGTAAGCTCTAAGTAAACCCATTAAAATCGATCCCCACTTATCAAGCCACCCCACACACGAGCAATCAACCGTTTATGGCCAGTTTTATCAGCAGGCCAGTCCCAAATGTGATTACCTAAAACACAAATTAGCCGAAGGTTCTTCACCAAAAACACTTGCGCTTGGGCTAAAAAAAAAAAGGGAAAACTAAAGAAAACTAGAGTGATTACCAATTGGGTTGTCAAATAGAGCCGAGGATAAACGCGAGATGAGTGCACTTGAGGGCGGTCTTTGAAGTAGGCCACTTCAAAAAGATTTCGCTAAATGGTGTGAAGCCGTCAGCCGTCGGGGTTCGCGATCGAAGTCTAAGGATATTCTGGACAAACAGAGTGTGCCGAAGGATGTGCGAAATGCAGCAGGTTGTTCAGGGTGTTCGGGTCGAGAACTCTTAAACGCAATATTTGTTTGACCATTGTTTGCGCCTGCTTTGCGGTCTATTTATATGGCCGATACTTATCTGGTTCGGGGGTAATGTTACTGTTACTGTTACTGTTACCATACCATGATATTCGTTATCTTTCCAAGCGCTGTCATATTTTGTCTAACAGCTCAAATTACGATTTAGTTTCAAGTGTTCGAACAAGGCGGATGGACAAGACAAGAAACCAAACAGCAAACAACAACTAGTAGTTGGTCAAATATCAATAATCGTCGGGTAATTTGTGCGTGTATACTTAAGTTCCTAGCCCACCGATTATCTGTATTTAAAAGGAGTGCCTGTTCTTTTTCCAACTAACAACTATGGAATGCACTGCTGTATATAGTATGAGTGTATATCATTATCTATATAAAAGTGACTAGCTACCATCATTTCCCTGTTTTTATAATTTCCATTAGAAAACTACTTACCTTTGACTCTACTGTCAGTCTACGTTTGGGACAACCTAGTCTTGTCTTTCTATCTAGTCAGTCGGCAGACGACAATTGAGTCACATCAATCGGAAGTGAATACAAATCGAAGTTACTTAAATCGGAATTATTGTGTCAACAAAATAGTTGGAATATTTATCCACATTTATTGTTTGCCCAGCCTGCTTGGTTAAATTGGAATAATAGGCAAGGTAACGGATATGCCCTATCTATTGGTAAGGGTAGAGGGGCCAATAGAGACACCTGTCTTGACGAGAAGATAGTAGTAGTAGCCACATAGAGTGGCTGAATGATAGGCGCTGTGCATTGCCAAATCACACAGAGATACCTTTAAATGGAACCGGGCAACGATTGTCATCTCTCTTGAAGAGTCGTCTTTATCTATTTTATTTTGGGAGTGACTTGACAGCCAACAACTGATTAGGATTAGTGTTTTTTTGAGTGCTTGCGGTGCCAGCGGTCGGAAAAGTCATTTCTAATCGGTGTCTATTTCTTTTTCGATTCGTTTCCTAAACAGGCTCCAGCGGCGACGACTTCGATCCAAGTGCGAGTGTTGTGCGTCATCATCATCACCTCCATCATCTGGATCTAAGTGCCAGGAGTCAGGCCTTTAATCCCCTGCCTGAATCTATTGAGGATTCATTCGCCGCCCGCCATCGTTTGCCACAACAGGAGCCCATTGAAGGATCTCCGACGAGGCGGGATCATCTTGATCTTCAGGATCAGGAGCTCCTGCATCATCCCAATCATCTTCAGCAGCAGCATCAGCGTCAACAGCCTCCGCCTCCCACGTTGCCACTGTCATTGGAGACCTCTCCCTCCGCCGTCGACGGTATGGAGGCCTTCTTCAAGGATCGCGTCCAGGCGGAGCACATCCTGCAGGAATGGGCGCGAAGGCGCGAACCCGTCTGTGATCTGGACATCCGTGATAGCGGTGGCGTCTATGCCAAGACGTCGCTTCAGAGGGGCACCCGCTACGGACCCTTCCCCATGAAACTCAGCCACCAGCCCAAAGACCCGCAGCTGGCATGGAAGGTAAGTCTTTTTTTACAAGATAACATTATATATATATTAATCTAAAACTCGTATAAAATTCTCATATTTCCACCCAAAAAAGTCGTTAGTTTCAACCACAAATATTTTCCCAAACAATCAGTGGGCTTAAATCCCTTAGCAGATATCCGAAAATATATCAAAAATATATTACCAAAACGGACCTTAAGCCTTTCACATGTGTGCGCATTTTGGCAATCTCAAATTTCCGCCTTTTTTTCCGGTGGTCGGGAAATTTAATCCCATCAGATCCGTACCAATTTTTATGTGCGAAAATTGCAACCGAATTGAGTCATCCCATTTTTTTTTGGGTGCTTTTCGCAGGGAAAATCAAACGATTGGAAAGAGATTTGATTAGAGCTCTACCTCGAGGGTATCAATTGTCAGTCAAATGTGCCTAATCCCTGGCCAGAGCTAATTTACCTTCGACGGAGTGGAAAACCAGGCCGAAAATCCACAAAGTGCACCCCAAATGAGGCTTAAGTCGAGGCCGGCTGATGATTCCAATTAGGGAACGAGGATCGGATCCGCAGGCTGAACCCTTCGATCGGTTGTCAGTCAGTCAGTCAACTGACACTTTCCCTCCCTCCTTCCTCCATCCAAACACTTTCCTTCTTCGGGGACACACAGACAATCCAATCAAATTATCGCGCCTCGTCCTGTTGACAATTCGCACACGAGAAGAGATCCCAACTTTTTACCTACACAACTCAGGTATTGCTACAAAAATATTGTTTCTGCCACTCGAGCGAAAATTGCAAAAATAACAGAGCACAGATCCCTTTTGCTACTGATTTTGCGTCCGTCCTTTTATTCCTGGATGATCCTCAAATCAAGCGCACTTTTATCGTTCACATTTCCGTTTTGACAGATACATTGGCCGTATCTTTACCTATCTGGCACCGTTTCCCTGGTTGATCCTCCTGGAGGATCTGGATCTGATCTGGCAATTCGAAGCCAGTTCTCTTGCCAGAGGACGAACGAACCCAACACTTTGAGATTATCTCTGGCGCGTAAATATTTTCCCTGCCCATTGACTGTTTCGTGTTTTTGTGCTGCGAGTTTGTGGCCTCCTTTTTAATAATAAAGTTATGAATAGGCAAGGACATGTGTGATGATGTCTGTCCGGGGATTATCGGCGGACAAAACAAGCAACTGGAACTGTTTGCCAAACTGTCACGGCAATTCCTAGCCATGTATGATGTGGGCATATCCCAATGATCTTATCACTTTTTAGTGGCTGCATCGGATTGCAGTTTCCGTTGGTGTTGTAAATAACCAGGGAAAATCGAAGAAGTTTTCTAAAAAGATTTTTATGATTACCTGAATTATCTTAGGACTTAGTTCTTTGCTTTACAAAAGTAAAATATGCTTTAAAAAGACATTTAAGATTACCCCAAAGAAATGATGGCTCTTGAAGTACCGGACTTTGTATTTAAATGAATCAATAAAAAATCAACTCGTGCAGGAGTCCCACTTATGTGACTTGAAGCATGAAAACAGTTGCTAATCACCGAACACAGAACATTTTCTGTTTGATTACTTCTTTGGAGTCATTAAGAGCGAAGATAAGATTTATCAAGCCAATAATTTCAGTCAATTAATAAGGGAAAAAACCATGAAATATGTATTTTTAGATGATGATTTATGTAACAGACGACTATCTAATAACTATTTCTTCTTTCATTTAAAAATGTTTTATAAAGAAATCGGCTGATTATAGGAATTCTGTAAAATCTTTTATTAATTTCTAAGCCTTTGATCGCCTTTACCTGGTATCTCCTCCTTCTTCTAATTACTGTAATTAGAGAAATCCCTCTTCAAAAATCTAAACCCTTCCAATTATACATTTTTGCAACTATAACTTGCGTTGGCCCTCCTGCGTATCAAAAACACAGACTGCAACCTACTTGTTTGGCAAACCACTCGAGGAAACCTCCCTCGTCCTGAAAACGTAAAGTTTTTATTTCATTTATACGCGCTTATAATTTTGTATTTATTTTATTTTTTTCTATTTTTGCTCTGCATATGCCGCGGGGCAGAAGAAGCCACTTGAGGCGTTGTTAACTTAATTTTTGGAGCGTGCACACATGGCTTTCTCTCTCTCTTTCTCTTTCTCTCCAGACTCTCCCACTCAACACACACACACTCACCGGAGCACACACACACATACCACTTCATCGCAAACTGTAAAATGCCGTTTTTCCAAATGAATTCATAGACAAGAGTTCGACGGCGGCGACTTGAACGTTGCGCATACGCAAAGTCATTCAGTCAACCGCAGCATTTGAGTTTCGGATTATGTTTTTTTTTTTTTGAGTTTTGTTTTTTTGGTTTTTCGATTTTAATTTGTGGTTGCTGCTGCTGCTGCAACCTCCAACTTTCGGCGTCGCAAAGTCTAAGGCAGTTTTCCCCATTTCCAGCCGCAAAAACAAAACAGAAAAAAAAGACTGCCGCAGCCGCCGTTAACGATTTGTTTAAATTATGCGTATTTCAGCTTGGCGCCGCTGCTTTTATTTTGTACACAAAAACTGTCGGCGGTTTTTGTTTAGTTTTTCTGTTGTTTTTCTTGGATTTTCGCACTGTTGCTGCAGTTTCCCAGTACTCTGTTAGTGACCTTGATGTTGTGGGCAGACTTGTGGGCGGCGTCTTGCTGGGTTCGCTTTTCATAAGAGTGCTTAAAGGGCCCTATTAATTGGCTAAGTAATAATATTGCGCTCTTAAGAAAGCTTATGGTGTAAGAAGGCACATTATGAATAATTTATAGTTTTCGTTTTTCATATAATATGTTTTTATTTTTTACCTAGATGGATCATATATAAAATAGGAATCGAAATTTTACCACAAATTAAGCACGATAAACAATTGCACTATAGTTTTTAATTTTAGATATTTTTTTAAATATTTTTTTAATTCCAAACCCATTAAAAACCCCATCTTACACCTTAAGTTTTAAATATCTACTTGGTACATGTATATTATACACACTATATAACACATTTGAGGTGTGTGCCTTGGCTTAGCAAAGACAAATTTGTACAAATAGCACAGTTATCAGGGTAAGACAACAGATGGCGCCAGCAGTTATCTTTAGAAATTGAATTCATTTTTTATAATTAAGTTTCAACATAAACGAAAAAAAAACCTAAAATAAATATATTTTAAATTAATTACCCTTATATTATATTTACAGGCCCGTGGTAGGCATTATAATGGTTGGCTAGAGCCCACAGAAGATGTGTCCACGTGGTTGAAAAAAATCCGAAACGTTCAGGACGATGGGGTTGGCGAGGCAAATTTACAGAGTTATATTAATGGAGGTTATGTGAGTATTAATTCCCCTTATCAAATACCCTTAGCACGTGCCACTCGATTTTTTTTACAATTTTTTACAATTATTTTCTCTTATTTTTTAATAGCTGTGGTACGAGACGAATCGGTATGTGAATGCTGGCAGTGAAATGGTCCTCGATGGGCGACCAAAAAGTCCTGTTCAATTAAATGAAAATTTTATGAACGGCGGTGAAGTCCTGGCAGCAGCTGCAGCAGCAGCCGCCGCAGCAGTGGCAGCAGCCTCCTCAGGACCCAAAAGCGGCGGAGGTGGCAGCTCCCTGCCCAGTGATGATCGCAGCGATCGTGATAATGGTGAGTGATATGTTTTATTTTTTTTTTAGCTTTTAAAATATGCATATTTATCATGGAATTTATTTACTTTTCCAATGATATATTATTCAATCTACAACTACATAATTAAGATATCATTCCCTACACCAATGGATATTCACCAGGACCCCTGACACAAAATCATACAATTCCTACTAAATTTGACATTAGAAGAGAATATAATGTATGTGTTATGTCCATGCTGGTGTGGCTAATAACTGCAGCTGTGTGGTGCTGTGGCAATTAACGCAACACAACGCAACCGCTGTGGGTCAGGTCAAAATCGGGGGTACAGAATCTATCAAAAATCCGGTGGCAATGCCCGTGACAGAGTTCCTGGCACGAGCGTCGGCCCTTTCTGATACAATCTGGGGAACAGGGAGAGAGAAAAGGAACAGGAACAGCTTATATGATGAGGGCTCACAGAATCGGAAGCAGTCTAACATCCCTTCTGTGATATTACCGAGCACCCTTTTTGCATCCCCTAAATGCGATCAATTTGTGCGCTGCGCATGCGCCCATGCAATATTCCAGCAACCGCACATGTTTTCATTTGTTATTAAAATGTTTGATAATTTCATTAGAGATCCATCAGCAAACAAAGGGTCCGAGATTGTGTCAGCGATATAGTGTATGTTGCTGACAGTCAAAATGGCACACGCTCAATTTAAGCCTAATCCTGCATCCCTCTGATGCTTTGAAACTGAAAACTGGGAAGCCGGGGCGTGTTTGATTATAAACATGTGGGATTTATGGACAGCTCATTTGGCGTTTCACACTCTTTTTTTCTGATTATCACGAATTTAAATCTCCAACGAATATGTTTTCGTTGTCGAGTCGGCTTTAAATTTGAATATGTAATCAACATAATGGTTAATTCCACATGCTTATCTGCCGGATCATATTTTCCATTACAATAGACTCGTATTTATTTTTAAGTTTTTCAATTAAAACCAAGCTGTCAAAGTTTCCGCGTAAGTCCTATTTTCCAAGCTTGCCATATTCAACCCGCTTTCCCATTTAAACAGGACACCTGTGACTTGACTTTTTAACGTATTTTCAGTCAACTTTTCTCGCAGTTCACGCGCTGTTGAACAGGGAAATTCCCTTTTCGTTTTTGGCAGAAGACAAGTCCCAGATGTCCTGGGCTTAAGGATATGCCAGCGAATGCCACCAGTGCAGCACGGGGGTGGCAACACGATCAAGGCTCCGTCCCGAAGTTCCGGAAAGGAAAAGGTGGCAAGGAGCGATCGAAAGTGTGTGGTTGAAACGGTAGCAAAAGATCGCTGAATTTTCAGTAGAGGGAGTTCTTAGTTTTGACCGTTACTTTTGTCGAGGAATATTTAATGAGTGCCTGGGCTGGGAATTTTACGTATTCAAGAGTTTTCAGTGAGGAAAATGCAAATATCAAGGGGTGAAACTGTTAGCCTGGGAAAGTTTTTGAAAAATTATACAAACTATTTAATTGCCTATAGCAAAAGTTAAACAATATATCTTTTAAATTTTATATAAATATTTCAAATTTTTGCCCTTTTCTAATTTAGCTAATTAACAATAATTAACAATTAGACAATAGCCCCAACTCCTGAGCAATGACATCTAACCATTCCTTCAATCACTCGATAAGCAACCAACCCACAAAGTTGTCAACTCAAAGCAAACTCCCTTCACCTTGACTCCACCTCGCCCCCAAAAGTCCAAAAAAACAGAACAGAAAAACCATTCCCCCAAAAAAACGAAACCGAGACAGTTTTTGAGATGGCTTTCGGCTTAAGTCGCGGCAACTCTTCAATCGACCAATCAAACAATGGAACAAACTATACACGAAGCACATTTAGATATGTTCGTCGTTTCGGCAACTGGCAACTGGCAACTGGCAACTGGCAACTGGCGACTGGCAGAACACACGCCACATAGACCAAGCCCATAAACGAGATCCTAACTAACTCTCAGTTAGATACGAAACAGAAACACAGACCTCCGCCGATTGACACTTTGTCGCCGGCAAAAGCTGATGGATGATTAATGAGCTAAAAAATAAAAATCGAAACGAGAAAAAAAAAAAAATTAAATAGAAGGCTCGTGTCGCGTCTTCGGCTAAATGATCATCGGGTGTCAATTTGGGCATCATTAGGAGTGCCACCTAACCCTTTTTTGTTTTTTATTTTTCATTTCGGTTGCTCCCAAATCGATTAGCAGGCGGATCTAACTTTGATTTTTTCCTCGTTCTTTTTTTTTTGCCTGAGCACAAGCTGTAAGGTGTAAATAATTCAATCAATCATTTGTCAACAGTTTCGGCTTCCGTTTAGCGAGATATAGCCTCCGATTCAGGGTCAGCCGGTGGCTTTTGGCAGCCAGAAGCAGATTCCGTGATATGTAATTGGCATGTCAAAGAGTTTCAGTCCGCCCCCTTCAGCATCCATCCCCTCTATCTGGTTAATCCACATCCTGAAGCCTTACAATGGATCTATTGAATTGTCAATTCTGCATTCGGCGAGTGTATCAATCTGTCAGATGAAAGGGGGAATCCAGCTGCTGGAAAGGAAGAGATTTGCAAAATGGCGAGATCTGGTGAAAGGCGTGAACGGATTGTTCAGGATTTCGGGGGAGATGATGACAAGGGGGCTGGGCAATGGCTAAACGATAAGGAATCGATGGGTGAACAGACAAAGCAGATGCTTTTGAGGAGGGGCAAATGAATCATTGGCTGTTTGATTAATTGATTGGGTGAAAGGTTATTAAAAAGGGTAATGTATGTTGATCCTAGGTTTATTGACATTCTAAACATTAAACAACAAATATATTAATAGAAGTATATAATAACAAAGTTTATAATTTAGTTCCTCTTTTAGTTCTTTTAACTACTTTCAAGACCAGCTGCTCTACTTATCTTCGAAGTTAGTTCCCAGGATTACTCCCTACTTAAAGCAACCCACCCAAACATAAGTTTTCCCAAACATTCTCAGGCTCAAGGAACCTACAACTACCCTCCCATTTGCCCACAACACCATATGTCGACCCACTCCCACTTCGACTCCTATGTGTCATCCCCACCCCCTAGGGATAGCTCCTACCTTACTACCTTCCAACCCTCCTACTATCCCACGCTTGCCCACCCAAAACTGAAAAAAAACTCAAGCCAAAGTTCAAGTGCAGCCCGAAAGGAAAAACTCTTGACGTGGGAATCTTCGCTGCCCTTTGCGGCCATATTGCACACGCTGAAAATTAACTTTTGACCCAAAACAGCAATTACCACTGTACTGAGAGAGGGGGTGGCTTGGGTGTTTGGGAATCACCCCTTGACCAGTGGAGGTGGGCTGCCTTGAGAGGCAACACCTGTTTAGAAGCAAAACCTGCTAGTATAAGGTGCCATATCTACTACATATGACTTTTCAAACGAAATCAGTCCAATGGAACTGGGAAGGCAGAGGGTGGCAGAGGTTGAGGGGTTGACTGCTGACCCTTCGGATGTGCTTGCATGCATAATCTCTGGTCATCGCCATCATCCCTTAGCTGATATGCTTGTGTCACCTGGTGGTTGTCCACTGCCCACCACCCCTGCTAACTAGTACCAATACCTAGTACCCTACCCCCGCCCTATCTTTACCTCTGCCTCAGCCACCCCCTAGAGCACCTCAGCTTTCTCCTCAACCGACTGGTTGAGTGGCTCATATTCAACACTCATTTCCCCTAGGAATTGTTTAAACATGCAGAGAGAGAAATAGTTAAGGAAACTTTAATCATAATCATTCATAATAATAGTTTCTATTTAATGTTCTTTTTAATTTCAAGAAGTAGTAAAATTCCCCTTAAAAACATTTTTTTATAATTAATTGTCTTCCGATTTCCGAAATACTTATTCAAATTAAACTTATAGCTTTTTCTCTCCCTGTATCTGTGCACTTGGCACTCGTCGGGAGTTGGCCAAGTTAAGAGAGGGGTGAGGATTGCCTCTAGAGGCGGTGGGGTGGGTAGGGGTGTCTTGCCTTTACCTTACTTTCATTTGGGACAATTATCTATTCAACGTCAAGCTATGCGAGTGCCATATATGAGTGCACACGATTTCGTCTCCGCTACCAATTTTGTGTTAAGTGTTTGCGTGTTTACTCCTGGAGAGTGTGTGTGTGAGTGAGTGAGTGTGTTGGTCATATGTCAATGCGTCCTGGCCAGAAAAAAAGGACCTGCCGCAGATTGTTAGCGGGCAAACAAAACATTAGCTCGTCGGCATTATGCTCAGCGAACGACACACTTGTTCAAGAAACGCGAAGCCGGACGGTTGTGTGTCAAGTGACCAGCTCAAGTGATAACTTAAGGATCGAAGTGATATATAGTGAACGTACAAAGTTAAAGCTAAAGATAGCCAGCCTTTTTGTAAGTGCTTGTGGAGAGCTAAGCTTAAAAATAAAGAAAAGATTTACTAAGATCACCTCTCGCCAGTTTATAAAATTTTTGGGATTTCAATTCAAAATTTAAAAGTTTTAAATAACTTATAAATAATTTATTTTTAATAAATTTATTTATATTATTTATTAAAATCTCAAAAATCTTTATAATTTACAGGCCTTCAATTTAAGTTTATATAACAGCAATCATAGGTTAACAATACTTTCAAAGTTGTCTTTCTTTAATCTAATCGAAATTTACTTTCTTTATTCCAGGCTCTTTGTACAGTGGTGACGAATTCTCCAAAGATAAGAAAAACTCCTCGCTAATCAGCCAGGGAGATATCGATTTCACAGACGACGAAAACGGTTTCGATATACGCTGTGAGGTCTGTGATAAAGTCTTTCCGGATTTAGAACTGTGAGTACAACTGGCCAACTTAATTGCCATTAATCAGACCCCCGGGGAGAGCCCCGCCAGTGGTTCAGCTACAACTCCTGATTTTCGCGTAGGAGAATGTCTGCATCTGAAATTGCTTTGGCATTTAGGCAGCATCGACAATAATCTAAATCAAATTTTGTGTGCCAGCAAAAAAAAAAAAAAGAAAAAACAAGCCACCAATTAGCTTCCAACTTACCCAAAAGAATTATGGGTGCGCAGCGAATAAAATCTTTGTAGAAGTTGAAAGAGAAATCTGAAAACCGAAATCCGAACGAGATACAAAGTATCCGCAAATGTTGCTAAACGCTTTGGATCTAAGTGGATATGCGGTCTAATGCCAAACTTTGGCGGAGATCTTAATTAAAAGTTGATGGCGATAATAGTGCGGCAAATAAAAGTGCCATTAAATAGCCAAGAGACGCTCGACCGAAAGTGAGAGTAAACTCTGAGATCTCTGAGCTCCGAAATGAATTGAAATGGTCTTGGTCTTGATTTGACTGGCTTTCGGTTCGCTTTTGCTCACTAAAGTTTAATGTAGACTACGGCTTGGCCCGTACCATGATTGGTTTTTTATGGGCACAAATGTGCAATCTGTAGGTGTTAACTGAGCCTTAATGCCTCCTGCATTTGTTCGGCATTTCGATTTCATTTGGCTTCATTTCGATTCTTTCAAAGTTTGTTTTCAGTTTTACGACTAAGAGCTCCAGTAGTCCGCTGGCCTGCTGTGATCATAAAAAAAAACGTGAAATCTTCGCTTAGGAACTTAGTGTTTCAAGATTTTTATTCATTCAATCATTCAGAAGTTACGTAATTGTTAAGAAACATCATTACTTTCCCTAGTTAATAACTGTCCGCTTTCCCTCAAATATCTGAACATCTATCTGGCCATTTAGTTTTCCCTCTTCACAAAAATCAACATTGCCATCAGCCATCCACTCAAGTGGTTAATGCAAAAGTTTTGTCCCAATATTTACAAATGTTTTGCGTTGTAATAAATAAATGACCGACCCACAAGCAGCGACAAAGGCAAGAGCAACAATTGGAGGCGACACGCAAATGACATTTCTATATCCCCGTATATATGTGAGGATATAAATGTACCTACATACGATGGCTATAATCATAGATAGCCATATATTTAAGTTGAAGTGCTAAAAGCGAGCTTTGATTTGATGTTTGGCCCGAGATGTGGAGCGGTATATGTTTACCGTTACTAGAGTGGGTGTGGGTGGTTGGGTTCCCCAACCCCCCTGGGGTGCACTTATCAGTGCCGGTGATTTATTGAATTTTACATGAGGAGCTCTAGATGGAAGGGAAGCTATGTGAGCAATGTCTGCGTGTCCAGCCTGTCTCTCTATTTTCCCATTTTTTTTTATTTTGTTTTTTTTTGCCATTTATCTGATGTTGAACATGCATGGACTGTAAGCCAAACAAACGCCCACACTTCAGGTGAAGGTAACGAAAAGGCGGGCGCTTTTTGGGGGGAGTTGCGGAGGGCTTGGAACTATCAACTCTTCCATGACGATGACAAAACAAAGAAAAATGAAAACGTTGCCGCCTCTTGTCGACATCGCTTTGCTATATATATATATTTTTTTTTTGCCTGATTTTACTCCACCCACATACAAGTCCGATAAGCATCGCACCACCACGCACCACTTTTGGCCACAATTCGCCTCCATCAAGGACGCCTTTGCTCATTGGCCACAGCTGTTTTGTATTTGTATTTTTTTTGGAAAGAGATCGCTTATCAGCTGGGCGCGCATATTAAATATTGAACATCATTTGACTAATTGACGCCCGTCCAGAAAAGTGGGTGGGATTTTCGTCGAGGGGGGCGTTATCCCAGGTGGTCGGCAAACAAAGGCGTGTGAACTGGCGCACATGACTTTGATTGAACCGCAGCGATTTGGCGGAGAGCCCCACGAAAATGTCACAATGCTAATTTCACTTCCGATGACAGCCAGTCAGATAAGGGCGGCAAAGGAGCATGTACTTCATTGCCTTCCAACCTAGAGTTTTCCTTTGACTTATGTGCGCATTTTCATTATTTTTCTTTTACAGCTTGGACGATCACCTGGTGGGCGCTCATCATTACAAGCAGGACGAGTTCAGCTGCAAGCAATGCCCATTGCGATTCTGCCATCGTCCTCTGCTGATCAAACACGAAGCGATCTCCCACAATAATATACGGAAATATTCCTGCGAAAACTGCAGCAAGGTGAGCCCTCTTTTAATTTGAATTTTAAAACCAAAATTATAAAATGTGTAGAAAATTTAGGGAAAAAAGGACAAGTAAGAATGGAAAATAGTTCTTAAATTATTTGAATACCCAAACGAAAGGCCTCAATAAGTAGTATCATAAAATAGCTAATAAAAGTTAGATACATTTTCTACAAATACGTCCAAGTTTAAGATAAAGAGAGAGCATCCAGGCTAAAGCTTCTGTTACCACCGACAACCTTCGATCGGCCGAAAACTTACGCCGTCATTAATTATTGTATCAGCTCGTGGTGCTCTGGTGGCTTGGCAACATAAAAAGACTTTTGATTTCTAGCGGATCAATAGCCGCGGGCTGCTAACTTGGCTTTTAAGAGTATCTACCGCTGCCCTCCACGCTCCTGGTCCACTATTGAGCACGCGCTGAGCGGCTTACTTGCAATAGCTGAAAAATCAGGGCGTGTACTCATCCAAAGCAGAAACACTTAAGCGACCCGTAATGAAGAAACCCTGTCGCAGCCCCCTTTACGGCCCGCCTTTTGTTGAGTTCATCTTCGCTAGATGCATTTGAATGCCAAAGCGAAATCAAAAGGGCTTGGAGTGGAGTGGAGGCACAACATCATCCATCTCTAGCCATCGAAAATCATCCATCCATCGAACGATTCGTTTCATGCGTCATTGTCATCGGCACTGCGACTTCGACATCGACATCGACATCTTCCAAAGATGTTTTAATGGCATGTTGATTACGATCTTGTGGTCGCAGCCAGGCCTTTTCTCTTGGCTTTTCCCTATTTCCATTTCCAAATCGAACGGTATTTCAATGTCTATCGAGCATTACAGTTGGTTTACTTAGCGCTCTGTAATTGTTTCGGTGGCATGTAAGTAGCACGCATTGTGGTTCCCCAACTCTCGTTCTTCATCTACGTATCTCCGAAAAAGAAACCCATCCCTAAACGGGAGCCACTCGGCCCAAAACAAATGATGATCGATCTTTTGGGCCAGAGACTTTCTCGCCGGAGTCCGAGCTTTTTTTTTTAGAGATTTCTGTTGGCCCTCTGACAGGCCAAAAAAAAAAGAGCGGGGCCCTGCAGCTGTCAGCTTTGTTTGTTTTAAGCAGCCGGCTTAAAGCGTTTCCAAAGGGATTTGCCACGGATCTACAAGGCTTTGTTCGAGGGCTTAGCTTGGAATCCGTGATGAGGCAGTTGAGTGCACAATAGTGAAGTCGTTGGGGGTTAACTGACGGGGACTTAAAGTAGCACAGGAATGTGTGAGGCTATCTTCTATATTCTATTTACAAAGTTATATTTTAAACCTAAAACATTGCCTTTTTTATCTAAAAGAAATTTAAAAAGTTTCCTTCCTTAATATCCAAATAAATGTCTGATTTCCCCTCAATCTCCATCTGAAATTCGAGCATTCTTAGTTTATTTCTCTGTAACTTTAACCAGAAGTTTCAACTCCATTAGGCTACCAGAGTCTGATCTCATCTTCAGGCCATGGACCCACAGGCACTGATGCCTTCACTGACCCCACGTACGCTCCTAGATCTTGGCTTACACAGCCCCGCCTCCCCGTATAATCTACCTCCTTGCTATTGCTGCCCCCCACCCAAGACACATTCCACAGAAAAACAGAGATCTCGTCGGTGACTCTGCACCACTTCTCCACTTCTTTACTCCTGCACCACCGAATGCCAAAACACCTACACTCAACCCACCGAAGCAGCGACTGCTTTTCATCTTTCAAGGCACTGAGAAAAATCAAAATGAAGATATTCTTCTAGAATTAAAAAATGGTCTTAAAACTTTGTGCTTAAAACATGGAGACTATAAATCTTTGTTATTTTTAAAATCATGTCCTTTTATCTTCTTTTTCTTTATAAATTTGATTAATTAGTCTAATTTTTTTCACTGCTTCTATAGTTGCTATTCCCCAAGTTGTTGTTATTGCTGTAACACCATGATCGTCGTTGTCGTTATATATACTTTTGTTGTAGTTGTTGTCGTTGTCTTTTGTGGCGTTTTTTGGAGAGTAGTTGAATCTAATCCATTTGATGTAGTTATAGCACGAGCTATTCTTGTATGTCGCCTCTCTTTCTCTCTGTCCTCCCTCCACCCGCCTTATCCCCCCGATTTTCCATCTTTTGTGTGGCTCATAGAGATAGACAAAAAAGGCTGCCTCGATCATCGTTTGATATGAATTCGTAGCGCATTATGACAGCATGATTAGGCATAACAGTTTCGTAAAAAAAAAAGGCGACGGGGGAGTCGAAACGGCTGACCGAAATCAAGTTTGAAGTGGGTACACAAAACTGGATGCCAGGCTGGATCCCCTGTCTCTGCCCCTGTTCCATCGCACACTCCCCCGCCGGCCCACTTCCCCTTTATCCTCTTCCCAATCCCAAGCCAGATCTGTCATTGCCTTAGCCCCTCCGACAAACGAAAAGTGCGAGCTTGAGCTTGAGTACTTTCGGTTTAGGGCTGGTCGCTGTATTTGTCACAAAGTTTGGTAGGGAAACGATTAAATTTAAATTAAATTACCTTTTATATATTTTTTAACAACTAAACAACTTCATCTATTCAAAGCCATTTAGTGACTAATAAAAAATAGATTTTACAATTTTACACTCAAACTATCCTTTTTCATTTTCTTCTTTTTACTAAGTAACTTTCATATTTCAAGACCAACATTTCTGTTCCCTTTTCCCTTCACTTATTGATGGCCATGTTACTGGTTTCTATTGTCCAGCCCTGATCTTGGTTTATAGACCTTCGAGGGGGTGTAAGATGCTTCGAGCCATGCAATGACAATTGTAGCAATTGATGTTAATAATTGACGAAGGTGTTTGGCTGCTGCCAGTAGTGGGTGGAGATGATGTTGTTGCCATTCGCTGTTATTGCTTCGGTTACCTTTGCGTAATCTCGGAGAGCGTCGGTTATTGTCTAGCCCAAAAGAGATCCGTTTAAGCGGCAAAAGCAGCAAAAGCAGCAACAGCGCAACGCCAGATGATTGATTAATTTCAGTTTCGTTTCATTTTGATTTGGAACCAGATCACCCAACCAGTTTCATATTTTATACAGAGAAAGAAACAAGGCAGGTCATTAAATTTGCCAACCAATTTTGCATTAACAAGATGACTTAGGACATTTCTTTTATATTCTTTCAAATCATTTTTATTGATACTAATTGTCTTATTTCATTATTATCTATAGAAAAAATATATATTTCTCACTGTGTATATACTTTTTTTTTCACTGCCGACAACCAATCGCAACTCACACCGTTTGTGATCTGTATTTTGCAGGTATTTTGTGACCCCTCGAATTTACAGCGGCATATTCGCGCCTACCACGTCGGAGCTCGCTGTCATCCGTGTCCGGAGTGCGGGAAAACGTTCGGAACCTCGTCGGGCTTGAAGCAGCACCAGCACATCCATAGTTCCGTTAAGCCCTTCGCCTGCGAGGTGTGTGCCAAGGCGTATACTCAATTCTCGAATCTGTGCCGTCACAAACGGATGCATGCCACCTGTCGGCAGCAAATGAAGTGCGACAAGTGCCATCAGAGTTTCAGCACCTTGACCTCCCTAACCAAGCACAAAAAGTTCTGTGATTCAGCGGGTCCGGTTTATCGGAATCAGCACGTGAATCGCCACCATCCGCATCCGCATTCTATTCCGCATCAACCACATTTGGCCCCAACTGCCACATCCACCTGTCCGGCGCCACCAAGGGAGTCCACGGAAACTTCGCCCTCAGCCGCCACTATGTCGACACCGCCGAATCCCTTCCTAATGTTCGGCGCTGCACCGCCGTTCTTTCCCCGATTTTCGCCATATGGATTTCCAGCCTTTCTACCACAAAATCCACTTCATCCTACAAACATTCCAATGTTTTTCTCGAAAACTCACATGGAAATGGGATGTGGGGGATCCGAGGTTACGTCTCCGATATCCGCCTTTGATCAAAAACTACCTTTTGGCTTCCTAAACGGCGAGGCCAGTGATTCGCAGGTGGTCTATGACAAAGTTAAGGAGAAGGAGTTGGCCTTTAAGATGGAGGAAAATCTCAAAAGGGAACCGCACCTGAACGTATCCGAAGAAGAAGACGAAGAGAGTCGGAATTCTCTGGATATCAAAAAGAAACCAGAGGATATGAAAAATGAATCGAAATCTGAGGAGCAAAACGAGATGAAACAGGAACCCGAGAGGGTGAGCAGTCCGGATCAACAGCAGACCGAGGATGATAGGGTAAGTTAAAGAAAATTCTTCTATTCCGTCCTTCAACTTTATACTCATAAATATCTTTTACTTTCTTGATCCTCAGAAATCCATTGACATTATGAGCACTCCACCGCCCGCGGACACTCCTTCTGGAGGAGATGCTCCACTAGATCTTTCAGTATGCCGCAAACGCTCATCTCCGGTCGCTTACCTTCATGCCCCTGAAGACGAAAACCTCATGTTCAGCAGGTTTATGCCCAGGATACACGAATTCGATGCTGAAATGGAGCCACCACCAAAAATGCGAAAGTCACACAGTTCGGCAGAGTCATCCACCTCGCACAAATCCTTTAAGGGCAGCAGTCCCACGCCCACCGCCTCGCCCGGCCTTACCCCCTCGCCATCCCCGCCCACAAGTGCTGGTGGTGAGCTAAGCAGCACATCTGAGGGCGGAGCGTTACCGGCAGCAATGGCAGCAGCAGCGGCATCGGCAGCGGCCGGACCAGCGGACTTTACCGCTTTGGCTCATCTAGCCCACCCACAGACTCAGCCCACCATACATCCACTATTGCTGGAAGAGATCTACCGTACGAGGTTTCCTTTTTTATGCCCAACGGGCGGACGGCGCGGCATTGAGGCGCTGCTGGCGGAAGCCGCCAGTGTAGTTGCCCCAAAGCGGCCGCTTCCGCCCGTGAAATTCTCAACGGGCAACGTTGGGCTCAAGAGCAAGGATCGTTATTCCTGCAAGTTCTGCGGCAAAGTATTTCCCCGATCGGCCAATCTGACACGCCACTTGAGAACCCACACAGGGGAGCAACCGTATCCCTGCAAGTACTGCGATCGGGCATTTAGTATATCCTCGAACCTGCAGCGTCACGTTAGGAATATCCACAACAAGGAGCGTCCCTTTCGCTGCGAACTCTGCGATCGGTCCTTTGGCCAGCAGACGAATCTCGATCGGCACGTGAAGAAGCACGAGTCGGAGGGCAATAACTTCCGGGATTCGCCCAGTTCCAATGGCATTGCCGAGCGGGAAGAGTACTTCGATGATATACGCAAATTCATGAACCGAGTCTACACGCCGAATAGTTTGGCCGGTAATGAGGGCGATACCGAGGAGTATCCCAATAGCGATGATCAGTCCGTGAACCTTGAAAAGGACAGCAACAACTTCAACAACAACATCAGCAACATCAGCAACAACAACAGCAGCAGGGGCAACAACAACCCCAAGGCCATAACAATAAGCTCTTAGAAAGCCTGAAGAAGAGAGACCTATCCTTGTTGTTGTTAAATGAAAAACTTACTTTAACTCTTACTTAAGCGTGCCTCCGAGAGGGAAAACCTATCTTTAAGTAGTTACCATTTCCACACAACTTGTACTAAAAACGAAACACTAAACATTAGCTATGCAATCAATGGAAAAAGACGGTGAAGCATCAAAACTTAAACTACAATTTAAAGGGAAAAACTTAATAAACTATATATCTAACTATATATACATACTTAAAACCACTCTAAAACCACCTTTAAAGTGTAGCTAATTTAAACATCTGTACATAGACATATGCAAGTCTTAACTTAGTGACTCGATTTCAACTACTTTGAAACTCTGTGGATTATATACATTACATAATAAACATTTAGATATATGAATATTTTGATTGTGTACGTGTATAGGCTTTATATATGGTATACATAAATCTATATGTGTAAATCGATTTATAACGTATTCTATGTAAGTTTAACATATTTATAGAGCTAATTATTGCAATTCTCAACCAACAAATCAACAAAAACAAACACAAAAACAAAAAGAAAAACCCGAAAAACAAAATCAATTTTATAACATTTACTTAACGTTTAATTATATTATTATTATTATATATATGAAAAACCAGAAAGGATCGTTATGAAATATGAAAAATCAATAAATGAAACAATCGCATTAAAGCTGAATGGTTTTTAATGGGTTAAAGTGGTAAACTTCTTTATGATTCCAATATTAGGTCGCGATTAATTTCACTTTTTCACAATTTTAAAGCAAGTAAACATTTTCCAGACTTATCCAGCATTCATCAGTCAAATTTTCCCGCGCTCCCTATAATTTATTGGCTCATCTTTCCTGAATCGAGATCAGGGAAAAACCGCACAAGCCAAACCTAACTTTGTGGGCATAATAAAGCCATTGAAAGAGGTTGGTTCATCTACACTCAATTACCGCATAAAAGAAGACTTTATACACCCATCAATCCTGGCCGCAGACCCAAAACATAATTGTGAACGCATTTGCCTATAAACCAACTCGCCCGAATATTAATCATTGCCGTAGAGCAAAAATATAATAAAATATACAAAAAACAAAAAAGAGATCGAGAGACCAAAACGAAACGAAACCCGAAACTTATAGCTTTTTAATACACCCGCCCGACCATCCATCCATCTGGGCAAGCAGCAGCAACCAACCCAAGTCATCTATATCTATCCATCCATCCATCCATCCATCTCGACTCCGATCTCCGGAGTCTGATCTGAATGCAAAGGCGTGATCGGCAAAGCGAGTTAATTACCCTTCCGGTTTAGAGTGTGTTACGCCTTCGGCGAAATGCGGTTAAAACTATGCGATCTATCCATGAATACTTTTCATTTTTTTTTTTTCTTCGATTTTTTTGTCTTTTATATTTTACCAATCCGTATTTCGTTTGTTTCTGTTTGGTCTTTTGTTTTTAACTGAATTTTAAATTGTATTAGCCGGGGCGCTCGCCATTGGCATCAATCATTTTTTGCCAAAGTCTATTCGGTTTTTATTTTTCTTCTTTTTTCTCCTGTTAATACTCAATATTTTTTCAACCTGTGCATAACCACCAACGATCGACCGTTACCCGAGTGGCATACAAAAGATCAGTCAAATAGCTGCGGTTCGGTCACTTTCGATTATGCGAAATACGCTTGGCAGTCAGTCGGTAGCCAAAATAATAATCTTCGGCCACAATTGGAGTCAGCCGGAGTCAACTCCCCCCTCGTGTGACCGCCCCTTCTTTTTTTTCGGTCGTATAGCCGTTTGCTGGCCCTGACCACAGCCAACTTCCACAAATTGTGCCACAAATTTGAACGCAAAACTGGCCAAATTATGTTAAATTTGTGTGGAAAACAGTAGATAATTGGTAATTGGTTTCACATCCAGTGTGCCCCGCCCTGATCTCGGCCAGAAAGAATCTAGACTTAGCGCATTACTCGGTTATTTGGTCACAGTCTACGACCGAAAATTGATCTTTGGGCGTTAATTGAAGACGGCAGAATTTTGTAGTGGAGCAACCGGAGTGGATGAACAAATTCTTGGGCAACATGTTGGCCAATTATCTAGGTAGAAATATGAGAATGGTCATTAGTGATTTCCATGATATCTCAAGGAGACATTGCATGGCCAAATAATCTTAGCTTTGGTTAGAATTAGGAATCAAAGGTGAATCTTTTATACTTTAATCAAACATAGTAATTATCTATTACTTTCTAAGGTAGCTACAGTAACAATATCATACCGGATCTGTTGGCAATTAAGTATCTTCTATCTTGGATTCATTCCTTCAGTTATTTTTCCGGCTCCCAAAACCAGATCGCCACCCAAAGAAATCGCCGAGGTCAAGGAATGCCATCCAACCGCCCAACGGGCATGGCAAGTGGTTTTCTACTAGTTTCAACCTTTCTAACCGTTTATGGCTCCAAGAAATGCTTTTTAATATGAGAGGATCAAGTAGCTTTTTACCGAGGTATTTCACCCAACATTCTCTTCGGTTAGCTGGCCCAGCAATTTCCTCCAACTCCAACTCTAGCTCCATCTCCATCGACCGCTGCTGACCAACCTTATCCAGGTCACTCACACCTCACTGATTACAGAGTCGTCGAGCTCCCGATGCACATGGATCCACCCACCTCATCGAGTATCCCCCTAGTATCCAGGGGATCTGAGGCAGCCCATCCAAATGAGCCAACACATTATGATAACGAGCATGGATAAAGTTGGAGCTGAAGAGTAGTGGAAACCTTGACTGTGGCCTGGATCGAAATGTGGAAATTCGAAGGAACGCTATCCATAACGCCCTGACTAAGCAACTGTTGATTATGTGCCAGTTGCGCAAATGGCCATTGTTGCGCCCCAGTTACACGCCCCAAAAACGGATCAAATCGGGCCTGAATCCTCCGCTCAAATGTGGAAGGCACTCGGAAAAATATGTGATCCTTAAATTTCAAAAGTTATCAGAATTTAGAAGTTAAAAATCATCCGTTGAGGGAGTTATGTTTTTCAACTTCTCAACTTCTTTTCAAAGCATATATTAGTACGATCGGATATGCATTTATATAGATCTATGTAAGAATTCTAACCGAATAAACCGAACACTTTAAACTAAACTTAAAACAAATATTTTTTTTCGTGTGGGTGGAAAAGCGCATCCATGGGCACATTAGGAGGGACCGTTAAATGCGACTTTCGAAAGGCAGGAAAAATGCCTGCCTAAACGGATGCAAATGTAGACACAAGCCAAAAAGGGGAAAGGGTTGGGAAATGGAAATGGAAATGGCAGAGGGAGATTGGAGGAGTAAGGGAGGCCCAGTCTGCAGTCGGCCACGTTAATGGCACAATTATGGCCAACGAAATCGGGCAAACGGAAGACGTGCAAAGCGCAGAGCAGCAAACAGAATCTAGCCGAAGGACATCACGCGTATCCCATTGATCCATGAAGACCCACATTGCCGGGCACTCGGCCAGGCTAACTCCGACTAACTGTAGTTCATAACTTGGCTGAGTGATTGGGCAGACTTTTGGCTTTCAAATGCACTTACCGCCAGTCGGCTCGCTTTGTGGCTTAATTAGCCAAGGAATTCATTTTTAATGAGCACTTTTTTATTCTTAATAAAAACAGCATTAGGTAATGAGGTTAGTTAAACAAATTGATATACTAAAAATTTAATTAATCATTTTATTAAGAAAGATTATTAAAATTAATGAAATTATATTCTACTATGGGGTATTAAACGTTAAATTATAATTACATAGCTTAAGAAACTTTCAATAGACTTTTGTTATTAAAAACATATAAAATATTTATTGGATTAAAACCTTAATTTCAATCTAAACTTAATTTTAATGCTCAACATAAAGAAGCTAAATTGTATTTCAATTTTTGAGATCCAAGTTATTGCTTTTGTTCATTCTAAAAAGATAATTGAATGTCTCTTTTGGTAAACAGACATCGATTTAAGATCGTTTTAGCTTACATTCCCAGGTGATCGATTGGGGAGTGCATTGAATGTTCGTCGTGAGACGGATGATCCTCCTTTCCTGGCGTTTTTCTGGCTGCAAAACTGCGACCAGGGGGCAATCAGTCAGCAGATGTTTTCATTTCCTACTCTGGCATCGGCAGCGGGAAAAAAAGCGGCGAAAAGCAGCCGAAGGTACTCAAGGCGCAGATGTTTGGCACAGTTTCGTGTAGCAAATTGCGCACAGTGGGCCCAGCAAACGCCCGCCACCCCCTCCGGGCGGCCATCCCCATCCCCACCACCCCTTTTTGCCACGACTGCCACTGATGGAATCAAATATTGTGCAAACTACAAGAGGCATCCGAGGGGCATCGAACGTTCAACGGGATGTTGAATGTAAGTCAGACGAGCCAGCTCCGCATTTGTATCTGTATCTGAAGTCGAGCTCTGCCTTTGCCAGCTTGGTAGTTTGGTAGTTTGATAGTTTCGAAGCTGAGCTGAGCTGAGCGCTGAGGAGCTTGTGTCATGCGCCTGGCACACGGCCTGTAACTAAATCACACTAATCAAGCCTCAAGTGCTGCTTTTCGAGTGCACTCGAAACATTTTACTGCCCAAAAACGCGGCAAGTCCATAAACATTTTTAAGGCACACAGAGACGAAAATGTCCTGAAGATGGGAAAGTTGTTGTTAACGATTATTGCGTTTAAAGATTCAGTTAATTAATGACAGTTTTTTTTCGTTTTGTTTACAAAAATCTGAGAATTATGGAATGGCATATGATTTATTAAGGGGATTTAATGACAACATAGCTACTGAAAGAAAACTGTTAATAAACCTTTTGAATAGAACTTGTTTGGTATGGAAAAATATCATAAATGACTGAATTATGATAATTATTTTCAAAGTGTAGCCCAGATCGATTTGCCGCTCTGCTCGTGCCATTTTCGTTGCCTTCGCCGCCTCCGACGCACTCGCCGAGCATTGAAATTGGCAAATCAAAGCAATTGATACATTAAATTACAATGCCAACGATTTGTACACGACTCCACGCCTCGTCTTCAGCGTCACCTGGAGATCAGACTCCAGACATCCGACATTCAACAGCTAACAGCCAACATCCAACATCCAACATCAGCCGCAGCCATCCACGCACGCTACAAATTTATCGCCATGTCAGAGCTAAAGCCCCGATCCGAAGCTGGATCTGGAGTTGAATCCATAGCTGTAGCTGGTGTCATCGTCAACGCTGCCAAAATGCCAAACGGCAGACAAGAGACAAGATCGAGGCGACTGGGAAATAGTCAAGTTTTTGGGCTATACGATACCCGCTAGTCGGGCTCCTTTACGTCTTTATTGGCTGTCATAAGTCGAAAATGGCTTAATTGCATTTAATCAATTTTCTCCCAACGCCACATGGAGCTGCAATTTGCTGATTGGCGTTTATATCTACAATTTAATTTAAGTCTTGATTTATTTATAAAGGATTTCGGATTTGTTTAGTGATTTTACCTATGAAATATTTATTTTACTGAAAATAATTTTTCAAAAACCAAAATATCCCCGAAATAGTAATGGA